CGGGGGTAACCCGATCGAAACAGTTTGCTCACCGGCTTCTGGGAGAGTAAGGCGAAAAAGCTAGAAGCACGTCACTGGAAGCAGCTGAAAAACAGATCAATCGTGGGTGTGAGGCCCACATCCTCACACCGCGCCACAAAAGCGGCAACGAACATATGAGCCGCCAGAGCCAATTGACCCGGGGCCACACCCAAAAAGTGAAGGAACCGAACCAGGAAGGGGTGCAGTGGCACGGCCATCCCTAACTCCAGTGAGCGGATATGGACCCCGAAATAGGGGGCTGGTGGATCGCTCAATACGTCAGTGGCCACCGGAGGTTCCAACAAACAATTATCACCAATCAGACTATATGTTATGACAAGATCCCCTTCTGTGACGCGAGAAGGGAGATCCGGTATTCCGCTGCTATCAAGGTCCCACCAGGAATCCAAGTCCACCCGAGTATCAGAATCATCGTCAGAGTCTGGTACGTTCACAGGTTGGATGCACGCTCTGTCTAGAACATTGAGGGGTCGTCCCTCAGAAATGGCAACCCGTCTAGCTGGAGCCAACTCAGGGAGAACATCAGCTTGCCGTCCACTAGTAACACCCGCATGCATACGTGGCCGAGGGCCGTGGCTGACCCGCATGGGTCTCACGGCCGCCCCACGCTCTGCTCCAATAATAGCCGATAATCCCGAATCTACATGATCGTTGTTTTCATGGGGTGAGCGTCCATCGTCTTGCATGGTCAGATTGGGGAGATCGCACCTGCACCTCAAAAATAAAAATAAAATGATAAAGTGACAAGTTTGCCAATCAACATGGAATGCATCAAGCAGGGGGTGCCCGCCTTGGTCGCCTAGGGGAAGGGCAATGCCAGCCAGCAGTGGGACGGCCGCCGGCTTCCTAAGCAAAGTCTACCGGCAGAGTGGCGGCCGCCGGTCCGATCCCCAACCAACATTGCTCGGCCAAGGTGATACCTAGCTCCATGGGGAACCGCACATATGGGCATTAGCTTGCCTCAGCCCTAGTTCCTTCGAGGCCCGACAGCAGCCGGCCAAGAAAGGGACGGTGCCGCCCAACTTGGATTCGGGGAACCACCTGGCCGCTCGGCTTCCTACGCAACGATGGTTTGCAGCGGATGAACATCATGGACGCCCGTGAGAAGGACAAATCCATCCGGCCCGAGGGCGCTTGGTCACCCAGCCGTCTAGCCGCCAACCTCTTGGGCGACACCGTCCGACAATGGGGTGGCCGCCGATCCCTATAGCGTGCGCCGGTCACCACAGGAGCCCAGGCCCGCCAGCCAGATTCACCGGGCTGCAGGGGCAATATCGGCGACCGGTGGGTGGCACAAGACAGCCCGCCAATCCCTGTAGCACGCGCCGGCCACCACAGGAGCCCAGATCCGCCGGTCAGATTCGCCGGACTACAGGGGAGACATCGGCGACCGGTGGTTGGCACAGCAGAGGTCGACACGGGAGTCGCTCGGAGCAAGACGGCGGTCAACCCGGTCCCCTGGTTGACGGCGGCGGCGCTGGGGCGACATGAGGAAGACGGACGCAGGTCGTGGGAGAGAAAGGAAAGAGAAGAAAGGAAAGAAAAAAGAAAGGAAAGAAAAAAGAAAGGAAAGAAAAAAGAAGGAAAGAAAAGAAAAGGGAGGAAAAATAAAATAAAGTCCAAAAATAATTTATGAAGTAATAAAAATGAATTTCAGGGATTTTTTGAAGCTGACCTGGATCCTGAAGTCTGGGAGAAAGCTTGCTGCTGGAATGCTAGAACGCTAAGGGAATTAATTTGGGGCCTTTTAAAGTTGGGTGCCTTATTCGAAATTTGGAAATCTCCATAAATTGTGGGATTGACAGAATCCACAATTATGGCTCCCTGATATGTGAATATTTTTTAATGGGCAGCTGACCTGAACTACTCCCTCTTAGCCGAGTCTACTACTCGACTAAGGGAGTGGGGGACTCGTGATGGGGTTATGGGACCAGGCCCAGAGCCTAATCGGCCCAGGCCCCGAACTTGGACTAGCGGGCCCAAGCCCAGCAACCTAGAGCTTGAGTCGGCCCAACCAATCAGGGCAATCAAGGAGCGGAAGCCCAAGAGAGCCTGTCGACCAGCCCAGCGGGGAGCCTGCCTTCCAGCCCAGTGGGGAGCCTGCCTTCCAGCCCAGTAGAGAGCCTGCCTTCCAGCCCAGTGGGGAGCCTGCCTTCCAGCCTAGCCAGGAGCCTACCGACCACCAGCCCCGCTGGGAGCCTGCGATCCAGCCCAACTGGGAGCCTGCGGTCCAGCCCAGGTGGGAGCCTGCCTCCAGCCCATCGGGGAGCCTGCCTTCCAGCCTACCCGGGAGCCTGCCTTCCAGCCTACCCGGGAGCCTGCCTTCAGCCCGATGAGAAGCCTTCCTCCAGCCTAGCGGGAAGCCCACCGTCCAGTCCAGCAGGAGGGAGCTCAAGCGTCCAGCCTGCCAGCCAGGAAGAGTAACGGCCAACAATCAATGCACTACTTAATTATGTGTTTAATTCCGTATTAATGTTGTAATTAATTTAGTCATTATTATGTTCGGCAGTTACCATTTGTAATCGCCTATAAAAGGCAATTCAAATTTCAAATACAGATATGCTATTTCTGGCAACCAAATCCCTTTGCAACTTTCCTTATTCATATTACTTTCTTGATTCCCGCTTGAGTGTCGTACGTAGCTTTCCTAAAAGCCTACGAGCGTCCTATTTTGGACCAACACATACATATATTTATATATATATATATATATATGTGTGTGTGTGTGTGTGTGTGTATGTATATATATGTATGTATGTATACTAAATGTAGCGGGCCAGGCTTATCGGCCCGAACGGGCCTACACCCTAACCAAAGCCCGCCTATATCTTATTGCGGGCCGGGCCGGGCCGGGATGGGCCCGGTGGGTAAATATATATGCCCAAGCCCGCCGATTTGTGCGGGCGGGCCAGGCAGGCCGGCCCGGTTTTGTACAGGTCTATTCATTATGATGTTTACGGAATAAGGCTCTGATACCAACTAAATTGTCACGCCCCGGACCTACCCGGACACGTCAATAACCCACCGTAAAGTATGAATAGTCAACCGCAGTCCAACACATCCATACTATACAAGGTGTCTGGAATATCATTCACACGTAGTATATCCATAAACAAACATAATGTAAAATATTCATTAAAGCAACGGAAACAATATTACAGGTGTTCAAGCCACACTTGGCAAATTAGGCATACAAGTCCCCAAATAATTATTCAGAAAATTAATATCAATAAGCATTTATACAATTGTTTTCAAAATAGAAACGGAGGAAGCACGAACCACGTCTTCTCTCCTAGATATCACCGAGCAACGGGCGTTGGTAGCAAGCTTCAACTTCTACCTTAAACTGTGAGGTAGCCTCCCCTGTGAAGGGGAGGTCAATACTTTGAAGCATTTGAAAAGTACAATGACAACTAGACTTAATATAATCAATGTTTCAATTTCTAAGACCCTCAATCTAGGGTGATAGAATATTATAGGCCATAACCCTCGGTTACCCTGTTTGAAAACATACTTACTTTATATAAAGTCAAGTAGATGGTCTGTGGTCCCATATTCATTTAGAATTTACCATTTTCATTCCCCGTGACCTCAAGCCACGATAACCCCATAGGGTTTCATCAAGCCCCGATTGCATAGCAAGGGCTCGACCGAACTACATTTCTATACAATCCTTTAACTCAATTCACGATAACCCCAGAGGCTTTTCTATGGGGAATTGGGCCTTCAGTCTCGATCCTTTCAGATATTTGTCAGCGCTGCGCATTCCCCAACCTATGATGGGACGAGGTGCGTCCACACTCTTGATTAGGCCTCAGCGAGAGGGGGTGAGGCAACGGTGTGCGAGGCGGTGTTCTGGGCCTCAATGCCTTCGTCATTGCCATATTTCAGGAATTTGGTGGTGGGCACAAGTGGGGGCGGGGGCGGCATGTTTTCCCCTGTCTTGGGCATGAAGGCGCTCAAAGCCGCGAGGTTCTGGGTGAGGCTTGCGATGATAACGGAGAGCATTGCCTGCACGTTCATATGAGGGATGGTTTGTTGGTGCCCGTGTGGGATTACTCCTTTCTTTGCACCTTCCTTTGAGGCCAATACATGCATCCGGGGTGGCGATGTTCTGTAGTTTGGCCTCCTAGTCCGCTTTCTCGGTCGTGGCGTCTCCCGACCTCTCCTGCTAGATCCAGAGGCCTAGGAGAGCCTTGCCCGTGGGGTTGTTCTTGGACCTAGGCTTTCCCACGTTTTAGTTAGTAGTGCATGGTAGCGATGAGGGTAGGGATGGAGAGCCTTGTCCGAAGGGGAGTTTTACATATAATTGTACCCTCCCTATTGAGTTTTACATTATCCAACGAGTAATTTTTACTCAAACCATAACCGCCCCAACGGGTAACGGGTATAACCGCGGGTAACCGCTAGTAACCTCTTTATTAAATGAGTCATTGATATTTTAATATAAAAATAATATTTTAAAAGGCGAAAAATTGCACCTCCTAGATTACTCTAGACCTCAAACACCACTTTAAAGTTTATTATATCTACAAGACGAGAAAGAAGACAACCTAAATTAATTTGAAACTAAAAATAATTAATCGTGAAAAAAATATGATAATATTCAAACAAGACTATAAAAACTATTATCAACTTCCATTCATACACTATAGTTAGTACATATATTATCCATATATACATAATGAGAAGAGAAAAATCTCATCTTTTAGTACTCGGGGGACAAATAATAGATAAAAATGTAATAAAAATATAATGAAAAATAAACAGGGGCGGGTACAGGGCGGGTAATGGGCGGGCATGTATAGAACCATAATCGCCCCATTACCCGTACGTGTATTTCCCGCCCCATACCCGCTACCCAGTCAATGCGTACATGCAGTTATCCCTGTTTTGCCCGGCGCGGTTCGGTATGGGTCGGGTATCCATCAGATCGGTCACAATAGCTATCCATAGATGAGGGAACTAACTTGATTGTTCTAGCTCTCATTTAAAGAACCAAATGATCGAGTATAATTCTAGAAAGAAGTGAGATCTAGAGTAAGAAGGTTATTTGCAATTAACATTTTTCAACCCCCCACAACTACCCCCGAGGGTTTTTTATAGGGGAAATTTGGGTTGGGCTCTCTGGTCTTGGGTTGCCCGTTTACAATGATGGGCTGCTTTTGGGCTGTTTACACGCAACTATTCTGCTAAGTACAAAAATGGAAATTGTTTGCTCAAAGCCCTAACCGAGGTGGCCATACCCATGTTGGGGGGAGGGCGTGGTGACCATTCTTTACCAATGCCTTCAATCTTCATCTTCTGGGATTTTTTATGTGGGTGTCCTCGTCTTGCCGAGGTTGCCAAGCTGATGTGAGAATAATGACAAGCTTATCAATGGGCTAGTCCTGGGTGTCATATATATATATATATATATATATATATATATATATATATAGAGAGAGAGAGAGAGAGAGAGAGAGGGAGGGTTGTTCTAGTGCGTCCGTCCGCAGGAGAAGCGCCGTCCGGCCGACGGCGTTTGGCCACCTTCCCGTGATGAAATTTTTATGACATGTTCTTCATCAAGTCTAGTTTATACACAAAAAATTCAGCTAAAAACTCAATTCGTAAGGTCTTCAAATGATTTTTTGAAGTTAACTATGCAAACTTACACACAAAAAACGCTGCAACTTCAAAAAATCATTTGACGACCTCCGGATTGAGTTTTTATCTCAATTTGTTTGTGCATAAACTAGACTTGATGAAGTACATGTCGTAAAAATTTCAACAAAAAATTCCACCGGGAAGGCGGCCAAAAGCCGTCGGCCGGTCGGCCCCTGTGGTGCGGCCAGACGCACATGAATACTCCTATATATATATATATATATATATATATATATATATATATATATATATATATATATGTGTGTGTGTGTGTGTGTGTGTGTGTGTGTGTGTGTGTGTGTGTGTGTGCGCAGTGGCGGACCCAGAAAATCGGAGTCACGGGGTCCCTACCTTAATGTAAGTCTAACCAATAAATTTTTTTAAAAAATGTAATTATATAATATTAAAGTAGCATAACATTTCATAGTTAATGTACATCATCAAAATATTAAGAACTTTTATCAATTCAGGACCTTATAGATAGATAAATTATAAATTCGTTACCCGAAAGATGAAATGTATTAATATAGGACCCGAAAGATGAAAATTATCAATCTAGGATCTAAGATTTCATAGATTTTGATTGATTTATTTATTTATTTATTTATTAATTCCTTTGCTAATTTTTGATAAACTTTTTTCCACAAAAGTTTATTAGTTAAATAAAACTAAATAATATTTAAAAATTTTAACATAAAAATAATAAAATTCATGACAATATAGGTCCGAGATGGATAGTCTTTAATCATTCAAGTCCTAAATTTACAATTTTCATCATTTGAGTCTTATATCTATAAATATCTTCTTTCAGGTCTCAGATTGATAATTCATTTACCTTTCAAGTTTTGAATTGATAAAATTCCAAATATTAAAGTAGTACAACGTTTCATAGTCCATACTATGACGCAACTCATCTTGAACATTATGATGCAAATCAATAATTTTTTTCTCAAACCAGGATAAGCTTCTAAAGATTCAAAATAAACATGTTGATCATGTGTATTGTCAGTCAAATTAATTTCATATTCACCAATTATTTTATTCAATTCTTCACTTAATAATGGAAAATCATAATAGAAATTTTAATAATTAATTGAATTATGTAAAGTGCAAAGTTGGAGATTTTTAAAAAGGGCAAAAGGATGTAGTTGTGATCTTTTACAATAATAAATCAAAAAAAGAGGAATAGGAGTGAGAGGGAATCGATCCTTGCACCTCCACAAAAAGTAAAGGTTTTTAAAGGTTTTCCTCCATTGTTCTCCTCCATTCTTTAGAATTCATACTTGATTTTGTGTTATATATACATTTATAAGTAAATTTTAAATAAAATATATAAAATATATAGGTATTTTTTTGGAAGTACGTGGGGTCCCGGGACCCCGTGGGACCCTTCGTGGGTCCGCCCCTGTGTGTGTGTGTGTGTGTGTGAAAGAGGGAGGTTCAAATACAAAGTACTACTTATATGAAAAATGAGAAGTAATCTTAGCCATTAAAATGTGAAAATGAATGAATCAGATCAATTTTAAAGTGGAAAATTCGGTGCCAATAGTGTAATATTAAAAAATTCAGTGCCAATAGTGTAAATGATAAATGTGCATGACTATGGAGAAAAAGTGCATTGGAGTACCACAAAAGTGCATCACTTTTCGGGCTGGAAAGTAACAAGTATAGAAATCGTTTATGTTGTTTTTTAGGAGGTGAATATGCACTCTTAGATATGGCATATGCACTTTTACTATTATGTATTACACATTTTGGTTTACCGTGAGTTTTTATCTACTCCATTCATTTTGAAGTGATCAAGGACTTAGATCACTTCTCATTTTTCATGGGAAGACCCCTTTGTATTAGAACTCACCCTATATATAATAGAGAAGTGTTTAGAATACATAAGGAAAATAATTAAAATAGGAAAAACCTATTAGGATAATAAATACATTATTAAACCCCCTCAACCCGTGCAGGGGAAACAACACGCAGATTGTCTATGAGAAAAACAAAACGTTGTGGAGACAAGCACTTGGTGAAAATATCAGCAAGCTGGAACTACGTAGGAACATAACGGACAACCAGATCTCCATGGGACACTCTCTCGCGTACAAAATGATAGTCAATACTGATATGTTTGCCGCGAGCATGCTGAATAGGATTAGTGGACAAATATGATGCTGAAACATTATCACGAAGCAATTTGACTGGCGTGTGAATGGGAACTCCGAGTTCGAACAATATAGACCAAATATGAAGTGTGTCCCAAACGGTATAAGCAATGGTCCTATATTCAGCTTCAGTGGAAGATCTGGATAATGGGTTGCTTTTTGGACCCTATGAAACCAAATTAGGACCGAGAAATATAGCAAAACTAGACGTGGATTGGCTGCTATCAGGACATGCTGCCCAATCAGCATCAGAATAAGCCTGCAAAGTATGAGATTTCGGACTCGGCCGAAGGAGTAAGTCATGAGCTGGAGTCCCCTAAAGGTGCCTGAAAATACGCTTAACAGCCAGAATATGTGAAGTACGGGGAGCATGCATAAACTGGGAAACCAGATGAACAACAAGCAAATGTAATATCACGTTGTGTCATGGTTAAATACTATAAAGTACCTACCATACTCTGGTACTCAGTAGGATTGGCTAGAAGATCCCATCAGTGAGAGATAACTTAGTTCGTGTCGGAAGAAGAGTACGAACGAGCTTAAGAGTGTAAAGATGGAATCGGGCTAGTAAATCCGAAACATATTTTTGGTGAGATAAAAATAAACTAGAGGATAAGCGTACAACTTGGACACCCAGAAAGAAATGTAAATCCCCTAAATCCTTCATAGCAAAATAACGACCAAGACAAAAAATAAATGTTCTAATGAAGGAAGGAGAATTATGAGTAACAATAATATCATCAACATATAGAAGAAGATAAAGAACAATAGACCCTTGTCGAAAAATAAATAAAGAGTTATCAGACATGCTACAAACAAAATCATGAGTCAGGAGAAAACTACTAAAGCGATAAAACCCGACTCGTGGGGTCTGTTTGAGACCATAAACAGCTTTCCTGAGACGACACACATGACTAGGAAACTTTGGATGAATAAACCTAGGAGGCTGACGCATATAAACTTCTTCTTTTAAATTGCCATGAAGAAAGTCATTTTTAACATCCAACTAACAAATATTCCAACCAAAATATACAACAAGAGATAACACAATACGAACAGTAGTGAGTTTAATCACAGTTTTAGGGGGGTGTCCCCAATATGGATTTTAATGGATTTTAAAAGATTCAGATTTTGATAGATTTTTATGGAATTGTATAGAATCCATGAGATTCTGATGGAATTGTATAGAATCATTGGATTTTGAAATTGAAATCCTGTCTGATTCTGAAAAGCCCAGAAATTAGGTCTCGGCAGTCCAGCTTCAACAACTGAAGAAGGAAATGAGCGGATCTAAGTTGGTGGTGTCATTCTCACGAGTCTTGGCATATCCAACATAACTCATCAAGCATTTATGTCTTCTGAAAGAGCCAAGAGATGCATTATAGAGTAACGGAATCTTCGCAGCATGGGCTAGGCAATTAGGCAATGATATGATTTAAGCACTTACAGTGAAGCAATGATGTGGGAAATAAATAGAGAGAGGCTACTTGTTGTATAGTGGACCACTCTGTCTTCCTTCTCCATACTACGTAGGTGTATTATTTAGCAGGTAAGCTCCAGAGAGTCCATTTGTTTTGCAGGTAAGCTCCAGAGAGTCCATTTGTTTTGCAGGTAAGCTCCAGAGAGTCCATTTGTTTTGCTTCTCCACAGGAGAGCTGTTATGTCTTGGTAAGGATGAGATGGATTTGAAATCCGAGGGGGTGAGAAGATATTTTGGATTGAATGTTTTATGCATAGAAATCCACTAGAATCCTTTAAAATCCATTAGAACAAATACTATTTGAAATCCATGGAAAGATTGAGGACACCCATATTTTAATGGAATCCATTGAACTCCATATTGAGAACACCTAGATTGTGATGGAATTCTAAAATCTTTCAAAATCCATTAAAATCCATATTGAGGACACCCTCCTTAAAAGTTTCAGAAAAGTCTACACTAGCCTGTGAGTAAAACCTTGTGCAACCAGACGCACCTTGTAACGCTCAACCGACCTATCAGAATTAAATTTTGTCTTATAAATCCATTTAGGTCCAAACACATTTTTATTAGGATTAAATGGAACCAAATCCCAAATATGATTATCAATAAGATCATTAAAATCCTTTGCCATAGCAGCCCTCCATTTAGCATCTTTATTAGCCATAGAAAATCAAGTTGGATCACATGCTGACATGTCTGCTTTAAGAGTAAAATTTGATTTTGGTTCAAAAATACCCGACTTAGAACGGGTTTGCATGGGGTGACCAATCAACGGAGGAGGTATCAGGGATGAGGTGTGGTCGGTCATACTGCTCAGTGGCGGGGTTGTACGTGGTGTGGGTGGCTGGCGGATGAGCTGCCCGAGGGCATAGAAGAGGTAGGCAAGCGGCTGGGATTACGGGCTGGTGGGGTCGCACTTGCGAGCGGTGAAACGCATGGCTGGTGATGGTCGGTAGTCGAAGAAGCCGGCTGTACCGGCTGATTTGGTGGACCATCCGAAGGTGGAGTAGCTGAGAGGGAGGTAAGGCATCAGAATGATGTATGGGTGTGGTGAGGTCATGCAGATGCTCAGTGGAACCAGTGGACAACATAGGCATAGGCGCATAGCCGACTTATTAGTTATTAAGAGAAAATATTAAGTCCGAGCAAGGAAAATAATTTTCATAAAAATAAAAAACGAACATTCCCATTAATGTAAATTTTGTGAGTAGTAGGATAAAGACAACGATAACCTTTATATTCAGGGCAATATCCCTGAAAAATATATAAAGTGGATCTTGGGGAAAGCTTGTTGGCAGAAGTGACATTAAAATTTGGAAAACAGGCACACCCAAAAGTACGTATAAAAGAGAAGTCTGACGAGTGGTGAAATAATTTCTCAAACGGGGAAGCATCATTTAAATTAGGAGCAGGGAGACGATTAAAAATGTAGGTAGCAGTAAATACCGCATCAACCCAGACAGGGCCGGCCTTGACGTATAATGGGCTCTGTTCGAAATTGAATATTCAGGCCCTTAAGTATAAAACAAAATACTGAATAACAAAATAATTGAAATTTATATTCAGTATTATATTTTATGTTTTTAATACTCAGACTGATATTTTTAACTCTAGAAGAAGCCAACGACCATTGTGTTCAGATTCGTAGAGAAGAAGTCGTTAGAAATTAGATTAGATTTAATTGTCTAAAGAATAAAGGTGCAAGGCTAGGGTGATTCTTACCCTTTTCTCCCCAATTCTCCATATTCCTTTTTGTCCTAAAATTCGACTGCTGATAAAATTTAAACAAAAAACTTACTCCATAAGTAATTGTGGTTTACTTACCCAACATTTTCACGTTAATCAAATTGTAGTTTCATGCCACGTTTTCATTCTAGTGGTATATGTATACACATATAGCACACGATTTTATTTGCATTTTGGAATTGGCTTTAATCCTACCTACAAATCTGCAATGCCGCAAATGAACAGAGCAAATATAACATTCGGCATAATAATCGATCAAATTATTGCACAAATACTTAACATACGGAGTATTAAAAATTAGGTCCTCTCCTGATCTGGGCCCTGTTCGGCCGCACCTCCTAAACATGGTCAGGGCCGGCCCTGAACCCAGAACTTAGTTGGCAGTTTTGCTTCAAAAAACATAGTGCGAGTTAATTCCAGGAGATGACGATGTTTGCTTTCAGCAACTCCATTTTGTTAGGGAGTGTCAGAACAAGATTTTCGAAATAAAATGCCATTCTAAAGGAAAACATTACGCATACCATGATTATCAAACTCACCCCCTCCATCACTTTGAAAAGTTATAAGTTTAGAGTTGAGTAAATTTTTCACCATTAATTTAAATTGTTGAAAATGTATCAGAACTTCACTTTTATTGTGCATGGGGTAGAGCTAAGTAAAACGAGAATAATCATCAATAAATAAAAACATAATATTTAAAACCACTTTAAGAAATAACTGGAGATTGCCACACATCTGAATGAATTACAAATAAAGGAGCAGTAGATTTATGCCAAACATCTTGAAAAAGTAATCGTTGTGATTTTCCTAAACGATAAGAAATACAATCATGAGAAATACAATATCATTAAAATCATCAATTTTTAATATCTGAAATCCTAAAATTTATAGCACGTCTAAAAATTAAAATTTAGACTATGATTTTTTATTCCAATCCAGACATTAAAATAGAGTCCATTCCATTTTCTATAGCACATTAAAGGAAGCTAATATGGGATATTGGGATTCTGTTCATATTTTTTATCAACAGTAAAAAGTAATTGTCGTGTACACTATGAAGTGAGTATGCAAAAGCTTTGAAGAATTTGGATAATGGTATATATTTGTAAATTGATGATGTAATCTTATTTATGTATTCTCTATACTTAACATAATAACACATTTAATAGTATAGGTGAAGTTATTCTTGCAAACTGCATCTGTTGTACAAAGATATAGTGAATGAGAGTATCTCTGAAATGAAGACTTCCGTAATAAGTAAGCTGCTTCTCCCCACAATTTGATTTGATATAGATGGGTAGAACTAAAATAGCATTCATAAACTAGTAGTGTAGTTAAGATGCTTATTCTATCTAGATTGTTGGAAAAATATTAGAATATATAGATTTTATATATAGTTTAGAATATTTAGATAATAAAAACGAAAATGTTGTAGAAATCAGTTTCATATATTAAACATTTGAATCCATATACCTCTAAGTAATATTCTCTCCGTCCCAAAAAGATTGGCCAAATTAACTTTTCTTAGTGAACTAGTTTAGCAACGCGCGTTGCGCGTTCGTTGTAATGCCCAAGGCCATCGTAGGGACGTTAATTCCTTGATTTAGGTTGAGTGAATATATGAGTAATATGAATACAATATTAGTATCAAAAGCTAAAAGAATATATTAGTATGAAGGTGGTCTGTGGCAAGTTCTCTCCATCGTTTTTGGGCAGATCCCTTCTCTGAAATAAATGGCAAGGAATTTGAAACAAGGAATCACTATTCAAGTAACATATGGCCTAGATAGTATTGTTGGATAACACAGGTGGACATAAATGAAAAACAGGCGCTTATGCCCTAAACACCACCGTGGGATAAGACAGATGGATGTAAACGAAAAAATAGGCATAAACACATATTAGTCACCCTAGAAAAAGAGCTTATACCTAGAAACTTGATGCACAAAGGTATGTCCTAAATACTTCTATGGGCACTACTACAGGTCCAATTTTGAACATTGTTAAACTGGACCACTAACTTATAGAGTGAAAAGGGTTACTAAAAAAGGACATCCCTCCAACAAGAGCTTATGAAGTAATTTATGCCCTAAATACTAAGGTGGGATAATACCGATTGGCATATATGGAAGATAGGTGTACACACAATTTAAAAATAAAAGAATATATGAGAGACTTGTTACCAAAAGATGAAGAGAGATATCACACTTAATAACCAACCTGTTTAAAGTAACGGAGGTGGGCATCCATTGTGCCACTACGAATTCAAACCGTTTCTTTGCTTTCAACATTTGAAAGTGCAGCCACCTGGATAGTAAGCAGTCAAATTCAATTTGCAAGAAAATTAAGTTTTTTCAGTATAATTGGAGCTAGTATGACCAAAATCCTATTATGGTAGTCACAAGTATACCCACCAAGTTGAACCGTGCTTGCTCAAGGATGACCTTGCATTATGAAGTTCCTACACCGATTCCATGACATGTTAAAGTCTATAGGGAAAGAACCTAAATACAACAACCTTTCATACAAGCAATGAACACAGCAGGCTCATCATAATACCTCTTGTAACATGCTCACTATGTCACTTTTGATGTCTTTCCTTAGTGACAAAAACTTATCACGAGCCTCTAACAAGAACCACATCTTAACCTTCCCACTCTTGATAACAATGACTATTAAGTTAACATTCGACAAATAAAACACGATTCAAACATGCAAATAGATTACTTGATCATATAGAATGCTAGCCTTGTCAAAGCGCTTTCGAGCTTCCTCCACCAACCGCATTCTTTAGTAAAGCTTACTATGAAATTTGTACTAAGAAAGTCATCACTAACTGTCAACTTAGACCAACAAGTATAGACGACATAATTATGATTAGCCAGTCACATTTACAAATAAACCGACCAAATAATCATAAAGCACTTGAAAATCGAAACAATCAAAAGATAACATGGATAGTACTATAGCCTGTAGAGACAGTTTTTTTTAAATCATTTTGGGGAACTCGAAGACAAAATATAACCAGAAAAAGTATTAAAAGAACATTAGTACCTTGACATCATGCAAATCTATGTTAACAAATTGCAACAGTCCAACATCCAACAAGTGCTCAACTTGAAATGACAATATGGAAGAACATTAAAATTTCATAGTTACTCTCTCTTCTCAATGTCAAGTCTGTCTAAGTAGGGCAATAGGGGAGGAAAAAGAGACAAACATTCAAACTATTTATATGAAAAATGATATTAATACACTAAAATGCCAATAAAAGGTATTGAAAATGCCAAATGTAAAAGATTCTAAATACACTTAAAAGTTAATAAAACTAAGAAGGTATTTAAGAATGGCATCTTCACTAAACTATGACTTAATTCTTCAACATTACAGATTTCAAGTAGATGTTTAATAGTAGATTGACAATTTCTTAAAAAATTACTTTAGTATTCATATTTTTATGAATGTACCTGAGACCTAAGAACTTCCATGAACGTTCCAATTTCCCTGAGCGCAATAGTGAATTTAGTCACAAGACATAACAGGACCTGCAACAACAAATTAACTCATATCAATGCAAGACTGTAAGTAGTGGTTGAATGGAACTCATCACATAAGCTTTCCAACAATATAAATATAATATATTTATTGCAAAAAACTTCCCTAAATAGGAGTAAAAATGTTTTGGAATTCCAAAATATGAGCAATATGTTTTTATTACCTAAATCGGAGTAATCACTACCGTGTGTGGAAGAATTGTCCTCTTTTAAGAAAAAAATGTTTGTGGTTTACACAAAGCAAACATATCATCAAAGCATCAAATAGATGAATAAAATGTCTCACCCTTGAGGCTTAAATTGTTTCTAAGAATTTCAACAAGGATCTAATAAGGACAATCATGAGATTTATTCAGAAAAATAGATAGAACCAAAACCTGGTGTTGAGGGCTTTGTGTAGTTTGTTGTTATGTTTTATGTTTTATTGATGATATTTGTGTACATATCTCTAGTATATACATTCTTGGATCAATATTAAACTTATCTCGTGCATAGTTGCAAAATAAAAAACTTAAAATGGATAAGCATGTAATGAATAATCAGAAACACAAAGACTCTCACCTAGACAATTTCACAAACAGGTTGTGTGGTTCACTATATTTTGAAAAGATTGCAATAAAACTTTGCAGCCATTTGTATTTTGCAATACCCCATACAAAAATACAATTTGTAATCTACATTTTAAAAACCAAACTGATTTTTAATGTTTAAGAAAATGCTTAAGCTATGTTTTTGTAAAGATGGCAAAAACGAAGCAATAGAGCAACATATATAACAACTAAACAACAAAGCAAATCAATGGAGAATTAGAAGAAACCTGACCTTTTTTCAGTTGTTAGGCAAACCGGATAGTCTTTGTAAGATGATGCATTGATGACTTCCCATGATAAGCAAGAGTCCGGAATAAATTTTGGATTATGCGAGTTTCTGGTTGGGGTTTCCGACCCTCCTGGTCTCCAACTATTTGTGGTGGATGAGCTCCTCCTAGTGGAACCAGACCAAGAATGATGAGCGGACGGAAGGGAGGAGGGGAAAGGGTAAGGGGCTTCAAAGAAATAAATGAAAAAGAAGCTGTGATATAATAATATACTCCATAAGTTGTTTTAAAGGGTATGGGTATAACGTTGAAATCAAGGTTACTAACGGAAGCTTCGACCATGTACAACAAAGTAAACACAAAGTACATTGAGATGATGCATCAAGAGACACCAACATTTTTTTATCACCATTTAACCCCTGACAAAATTCCCCCTTATTATATTGTAGAGATAGTAATCAAGTTTGACCAATGATATTTTTTAATACAAAATTATATAGAATATGAAAATTCAATGAGCATGTTATTTATTAGAAAATCTTTCATAAAAGTATAAAATTTATAAATCACCCACAAATATCTTCCAAAAAAAATCACCCACAAATATAATATCTAAAATCATTGTCTAAAATTTAATACTATTGACTAAGAAAAGTCAATTTGACCCATTTTTTAGGACAAAGGTAGTAATTGATTTTTTTTTTAATTAGTAATAATGGATTATTAGTTACTTCTTGATACCTATCTATTTACGTTTAAGGTTGATAGCCGCCTCTCGTTTTCCTCATCTACAAACTCCATGGTTTTTTAGAGATCCTTCATTGGTAAAGTCGGATGGCTGAACTACTTGCAATTACGGAGGTTAGACTATTTGAATTCAATTTGATTCATTTTTCAGTTCCTCTTTCATACTTCGTTTTAAACATATTTCATTTGCCAACATAATTTAGAGTCTTTGCTGTTGGGTTTTTAATAAAATCACAACTATTTTCAATTGAAGAACTTGGTCCCGTCAAGATTGTGTAAAAATATCTTGCTCTGAAAAGGAATCTAATTACATGGACAAGTACAAGTGTACGAAAAGAAATGAAGTGTCAACGAGGGAATACATTGATATAAGATTACTCTTAACGTGAAGGTTTCTTCAGGCTCCGTTTCGTTGTGATCACGAGTGTCGTCAATTGTTACATAAACTGCAGGACAACTCAGAGAACAATTGGAATTGGTATATCTAAGAGTAATCGTTTTAAGTAATTCTCTAAAAATATGTTAAATATGTATTATTATATATCTTTTGGTCTTTTAGAGTGGCATTCATTTGACAACTACATCAAAAGAAATTGATGATTTAGTGAGTCGTCTACATCTTTTGTTCAAGACCGATATAAATGAGGAAGACTTTAAAAAAGTGACAAAGTATTCTCTGTGAGGTGTCTCACACAAAATAATGATGTCATGAACCACAACAAGTGGTATGTAAATAAACAAACTTTATATTGAAATTATTGTAGTATCCTTTTCATTTTTAAAGTCTAACAATTGCTTAGAATTTTAATCTCTAGGAACTAGACTCTAATGATGATTTGGATTTTTTTCGGTCAGCCAAAAGTGACTTCATCAAATGTGAGTATTGCTTAAAAAATTAAATAATCGTAGCTTGAGTTTGAATATTGTATCTATTTCATTTTGACATTTGTAAACATATCATTGTATTGTCATTTCAAATTGATATGTAATTCCTAAAATTTAAATTGGCATTCTGGATTAGTAATAACCATATTTAGATATTTTTAACTAAAATATTTAGCTAATTTTTATGTTACCATTGAACTTCATGCTATAGATGATGTCACGACTACTACCTCAATTTTGAAGCGGTGTGTGTCAGATCACGCGGAAGAAAATGATGGAGGATCTTCTACCCAGAACTCCTCTAACAAATTGCAGAAAATTATCAAGGTTGAAAAATCATAAGGTTTTGGGGATGAGTGTTTGAGGTGGAAATTGAAGACAATATGTTCACTCTTTAATTTCATGTCTTTTTTAGTAGGTGAATTTTTACTGCAGAGATGTTATTTTTGTCAAGAGACAATGTTCTTGATTTACTATGGTTTTTATTGCTCAATGTCGAATACATTGTTGTAGACTTGCAATGGAATTAGTTCATGCATACCTTGGATTATATTCAATAACTCCAACCAAAAAAGCTCCTTAAATATGTATCACTTTTTAGTAATTCAAGTTAATTTTTTTTACTTTCCAGACAATTACAGTAATATTTATCTATAGAGAAGGTTATTTTTATCCACAAATTTGTAATATTGATCTACAAATTTTGTGGATCATCTGTTCCACTAATTAACATATAAATTGTTCTTTTCTCTTACACCCCTTGCAGCTTCGAGAGAAGATGAAATCACCACTATAATCAATCAACTTTTCAAGGAGTTGTGTGATGAGATTTCCCAAAATCTCACTTTCATATACTCCGTAATATATTTATATTTGATGTAAATTATTACAATAATCTATTTTTGTTGTTACTATTGTGACAATCTATGAGGTAAAAGTGGATAGTTCGATGTCATTTGTGTATCCACTTTAGTCCTTGAATTGTCCCAAAAGATGTAATTTTTCGTCCTTTGTCTCGTACAAACATTACTAATCAAACAGTTGAATGAAAAAAGATCAATCGGTGCTTTGTTAATAGCCGATTGGATTTGCAAACAATTTCTTTCCTTAACTGCATTCAGCATATGTTTGTCCTTGATTCAGAACAAAGCTTCCAGAAAAACACTATCCCTATCTGCTAAACAAATTCGGATGGTATCATGGACAATCCAATAAAAATCAGTGATTATCTGATAATTGATCAGAACTGTATATAAGATAACTTCCTAATTTGACTAATAGTGCTCAAACTAAAATTTCAGTTACAACCAGAAGTTAATGTTTTCATGAGAGGAAATACTCAATTTGCCACCTTTATGTTAATTTAAGGACTAAAATTGGATACGTCGAAAGTTGAGGGACTGAGTTCACTGTATTAATTAAAAGTTACAGACATAACGAGAATACGGGAGTACCAAATATGCAGAAGATTATATATGTAGAATTAATTAGCACACAACATATTTTCAGGTTTTCAATGCTTAGATATATATATACTATCTATATATTTACTTTCCTCTGATTCTCAGTTTTAGAGAAGTGCAACAAAGATTCACGTTTTTATCACTTCTATGATTATTTGATGATTATTTGTTTACTTAATTTCTGAATTCTGAAATGAATGTTTTCTATAACATGCCAAGCTACAAATTTGAAAATCGGTGTACCACTTTTGTATGAGTAAATTGTGTAATCACTAAATTGGTAATAGTATATTAAGTGTTTATGTATTAAGTGTTTATACTGGTGAATTAATATATATTTGTTGTCATTAAACATTTCAGGTCTTGAATTCAAAAAAATACCATATATATTGGCAAGAATCAATGATATCAGAAATATATGGTGAATATATTTATCGATGTTGCACTGTTATGAAAGCCGAAATGATGCAATTCATAGACTACTATGTTGTAGGACACGAATGGGTTTAAATTACTACGTTTCAGAACAATCTTTTATATCCCCATTTTGTTATAATTTGAATGAATATTTGATGTTTGGTATGATATAGACGTTTTTTAACTTTTGTATCCGTAGTCGTTTGTTAACCTTTTAAATCAAGAAATAAAATTGACTATAATAATTAAATTTTAAAAAATATATATATCAGAGGCGCTTCTGAGCTATAAGCGCCGCAAATCGAAATTAACAAAAAAGAAATTAGAGGCGCTTCTAGTATATAAGCGCCGCGCGCACGAAAAAAATAACTTTAGAGGCGCTTTTGATTCAATAAGCGTCACACGCCTGGATGATTTGGAGGCGCTTCTAGTTAAATAAGCGCCGCAAGAATTCGGAAAAAAAATTAGAGGCGCTTCTCAATTAAAAATGTCTCTGATAACAATTTGCGGCACCTCTTTTAGAGGCGCTTTGAAGCGACACACGTGGCCTAAAAAAAGCGCCTCTGATTGACGATTTTCCACTAGTGAATACATAATAGCAAAAGTGCATATGCAATATGTAATGGTGCACATACACCTAAAAAAACATCAGGAATGATCTTTATACTTGTAAAAAAAACATCAAGAATGATCTATATATATATGGGTGAGATCACATACAAACCATGCTTAACTTACTAACCTACAAACTCAATAATATGCAACACTTTGAACTTCAATATGCAGTGCAAATAATATAAAGATGCACTCTTTGAATTTCAATATGCAATACAAATAATGTAAATATGAAACTGCTATTTTATGGATTGAATAATATGAAATACTTTGAACTTCAATGTGCAATACAAATAATGTAAAGGTGATTTGAATGAGAGGACTAATTTGTATGTGATCTCACCCCTGCATCTTTACATTATTTTTACTGCACATTGAAGTGCAAAGTGATGCATATTATTGAGTTTGTAGGTTAGTATTTTAAGCATGGTTTGTATTTGATCTCTTATCTGTGTGTGTGTGTGTATATATATATATATATATATATATATATATATATATATATATATATATATATATATATATATATGTATATATAAGAAAACAAAAAACTATATTTAAAATACACACACACATATATATTATAAAAATTGATTTTAATGTAAACAATGAAAAATTGATCCTAATTGACCAATTACTTTTTGTAGATAGTGAATATGTTTTTTTTAATATTAGGGCTATAAAAATGATATAACAAAAAAAATCATTTTTTAACATTAGCAAGAGTTCATTTCGTAGTGTAACTCACGTATATTAAGATGTAACTCACGCATAAACAGATGTAACTCGCTCATAAGAAGATGTAAGTTCACATAATATTGAATGTAAACAATGAAAACAAGGAGTTTAATTGTTCAATTAATTTAAATAAATAGTGAATATGTTTGGTTTTTCAGATTAAGGTCATAAAAGTATTTAAAGAAAATTCAATTTTTTGCCAAGCAATTTGTTTTTTGCCAAAAGAAATACTCCAGTAATTATTTTATTATTTTACAAAAAAGTTTTTTTTGTTTCAATAGCATGAGTTTATTTTGTGATGTAACTTGTGTTATGAAATATAACTCGTGTTGATGGAAAATCTAACTTAGTGGTATGCAA